TTCGCTACAGAGTACATTCATCGCTCGTTACACGGCCAAACTGCCACCGATTACTTTTCATTCTTGCGGTTGATTGGAGTATCGCCCATGGAGCTCAATCATATATTCATATGTGGGATTTTGTATGCCCTGTGTCATGCAACGATCATGGAGAAGAAAATGAGGATTAAGAGGTATTGGGAGGACTGGGGCGTTGATGAACCTGTACCATCGCTGATAATTGTAAAGAAATGCGATAAACTCCTTGATACACATCCTCATCTCTTTTTCACGAAGAAGATATTCCAGGGTGAAGCGATTTACACGCATACGAGTCACACCATTCACTCAATTGCCGAGACGATGGCGCATAGAATACTCAGGAGTAGCAAGCACTCATCCAACTCTACTCTTAAATTTCCTCGCTCTCACGGGGTCATCAAGCCAGCACTCGGTGACGAGCCAAAATTAATTCTCTTACCAGAACACAGACATCACCCAAAACCTCCAATCATCAGGACGAATCAATTGACATCAGTACCCGCTTTCCTTTGTGATAATAATCCAAAGGTTCAGGCATGTCCCAGAAAATTGTATGTTAGTAATTCTTCTGCTGCTTGTGCCTGGAGACAACATGAAGAGTGTGGTGGGGCCTTTGGACAGAGGGTTCTCAGGATTGGGTGTGAGCCAGCGCTTATTTCGTCGTCTGAAATTGAACCACTGATTGGGGTACCAGATCTCAAAACTGCTACGATGTTTTCATATGAACCTCCAGGTGGACTAGCAGCGTGTGCTCCGATCAATGGATGGTCTAATATAATTATTCCAGGTACTCATTTTTATCGTATATCTGGGTTTCTTGAAAATTGTTCAAGAGTTCGTTGTTTAATTGTTACTTGGATATGAAAACTCGGAAAATGTATTATTTTTTCAAGTCACGGCAACTAAATATTCTTCTCAACAAACTTTATCGAACAATTTAGAAAAATGAACGCACGACTATGAAAATTTCTGAGTCATTGAATATCGATAAAAACTGAAAACGGCGTATTTTTTCACGTCCACCTGATCCAGGATTTCCCAGAAATTAATTCAATACTTAAAAAATCAGAAAATATCGGCAATAACTCCTTAAAAAGTCCCAGTATATGATTTTTCGACGCCGTTCGTGTAATAAAATTTCATCAATTTTTCTGTGGATATACACATCAATAAGTTCTAGTCGTAAATTGAATCTTATTAATTATCAATTGAAATTAGATTTATCAAAGACTTGTTCAGCTATTACTATTTCTTTGAATCGATATTTCAACGGTTTTTTAAAAAGTTATGGAAAGGAAAACTTGACAATTTGGTATTAACCGTGGTAATGGGTATTTTCGTAAAACGGGAGACCATTTCTATCATCATCTTCCTGATGTTGGGAAATTGCCATGGATTGATTATCATTACTCGGTCAAATGAAGACATCACAACTATTTGCAGTAAAAGTGGGCATGCAAACGTACTTGTCTTCCCCATTATATCACAAAATCGCTGGAATTTCTACTTTCTCTGGAGTAATTTACTTGTGTAGAAACTTTTGACTATTTAATGAGCAAAATAGAATGTTAAACCGGAAATTGTATTAATAATTCCTCCATCATCTCCATAATAATGATTGTCCTGTGCATCGATCTATCACGTATTGATTTCGTTATAATTAATTTGGAATTGATTGACTTTCAGATAAACAAACTCTGGTGACAGACGCTGGCAAGTTGTCAGTTCTGGACAGTTTATTAAAACGTCTTAAAGAGCAAGGCCATCGAGTATTGATCTACTCCCAGATGACAAAAATGATCGACTTACTGGAGGTGATTATCGAAAATATCAAATATATTGTTATAGATATAAGACTATATTCTCGCGATTTCAGGAATAATTTTTGTTTGACTTTTTGTTGATACAATAGGAGTACATGTACCATCGAAAGCACACATTCATGCGTTTGGATGGCTCATCGAAGATTGCTGATCGTCGCGATATGGTAGCAGACTTCCAGAAAAGGTGAACTTAAATAACAATCATTGTTATGAATTGAAACAATTAACGGAGACATTGGATAGCTATCAATCGAATACAATGGGTCCACTCCAATTTCTCTGTCGGTGTCAGAGGACCACTATTTTCTTGATAATTATAATACGGTTATTGGCATGATAATATGCTATTCTCGGCGGGTGAGCGGTCGGATATCGATCAGGCTCGTGTTTCGCTGGCGCTGAGTTCGTTTAGCATGACGTTTGGGTGTTGTCAGCCGGGCGTAACTGATGCACCGAATCACTAATTGGCGAAACGTAACTGCATTCAACTCGTACTTTCATACTCCTTTTTTTCTGTTTATCGTTTTAGTTTATTCTTCATCATTACAATATCAAGAAAATGATCCTTCATTTCAACCAATTGAGGGAATCCCATGGAATTGAATTGGATTTTCAATGTCAAAATGTCAAATTTCAGTTTCGAAATTTGTAAATTGTATAGATATACTCTCTACATTTTTCCATTGCGTACTTCATTGAATGAAGAAGAAAAAAGTGCAGTTTTCAAATTGAAGTGGAGCATTTAATAGGGGACTCGACTTCATTATATTTCATTGAGAAGTTCCATGAAGTATTTAAGGATGTTCTGTCTACTTTTACCCAAAATTTCCATTTGTTTTT